TCGTTGTGAGTAAGTTAATGCACGCATGGCACTACTTTTTTTTTGGGTTTAATGTTTTAATTGTGTTATTTATTTTACCTCGAAAGTGATGCCTTAGATCTGCAATTAAAATCACACACATACTTCTCCATTGTTGGCCCACGTACGTGTAAGTTGTATAATAATAAATTTAGTTTTATATATTTTTTAGGCAGAAGTCTTATTTTTATCATACTTGCTGAGGGCATTATTACGTGTCCGTTGGACAAATTGGTTAGTCCAACAGTTACTTTATGTTCATGTCTTTGCATTTCTGAAAACTCAAGACATGTCTTGGACAAAAACAAATGAAAAGGAAGAGACACCATATACTGTCGTGATTGATGAGGTCGAGCTTATTACTTGAATGGACGTGGTTCAATAATTGAATCACAACTTTTTTTTTTGGTTTTCATTGGATCACAACAACATTATGATTTTATTACACGTTTTCTCTCTTTTTGATGATGCCACTTTTTGTATCATCTTCACACTATTAATTGTTGCGCATGCTACATCATATGCAGAAATTAAAGGTTCATTCAACTCATCAACCTCCGTGCTGTTTTTACCATCCTTTCAAAGAATCCTTGTGCAAATAATGTTTTAACCTGCCATAGATGCAGTGCTGCTTAGGAGATGAGAAGGTTTGAATAGTTTATATGTTTGTATTGGAATCAATTTTTTATTTAGTCATATAATTTCAGGTTTTGATTTTCTGCTTTCCTTTTAACACTAGTTTTCAGGAAGCCTGCGATTGATGGACTTGTCACCTCACGGTACTGATAAAAAAACATTGAAGAGGTGGTTTTTCATAGACAAAAGGGTCGGCTAAAAGGATTTGCAAGGTAGTACTTTGGTTGATAAAGCTGTTGCTAATTAATAACGTAGTCATAGTTCACTATATTATAAGTCCTCTGAAACTGATCTGGAGCTGATGGAGTTGAAGTCTAATCATGCATCTCCGGTTCTCACTGATCCTACTCCACTAAACAAGTCAAGGTTAGTGAATCGGCTGCCGTATGCACAATCAGGTGGATCTTTCTCATCTGGAAAGTGTGTCACAATTTCAAGGAAGAAGCCGGGAAAGCTTGATGATGTGCTCCCCAATGGTTGGCTGGATGCCATGAGATCATCATCACCCCCTCGCAAAAAGTTTATTATCGACTGTAATGTTGATGTCCCCTCAGATGACAGTGATAATGCTTACTGCTCCTGGATGGTACGCATATGTAATATATTGTTAGTTTTAAATTGTTGTGGTGGCTTAGCTTCCACACTTTTTCCCCAGGAGAAACGTTATATCCCGCTTTTTTGTTCTTATTCTCTGCTTTTATTCCAATTTCTGCAGCTCAATTACCCATCTGCACTTAAATCTTTTGAGCAAATCGCAAGAAATGCAAAGAGCAAGAAGATAGCAATTTTTCTAGATTATGATGGTACTCTTTCTCCCATAGTTGATGATCCAGATCGTGCATTTATGTCCAATGCTGTAAGAACCACTCATTAGCTATCTTTGCATCTACAAGAAAACTTTCTGTTGCTTCAGTTCTAATTGAGACTAGTTGTGCCTTTGGTCAGATGCGTTCTACCGTAAGAAATGTTTCCAAGTACTTCCCTACGGCAATTATTACTGGAAGAAGCCGTGATAAGGTAAAAATAGAGGAGAAACCTTGATTGCTTTATGCCCCGCTTTCTCCTTATTAATTATCATCAGCATTCCATTCTGGTCTGATGCCAGTTCATTCTTATTCTTTCAGGTTTATGAGTTGGTAGGACTAACCGAACTCTGCTATGCCGGTAGTCATGGGATGGACATCTTGAGTCCTGTGAGTGATTCAGTTTCGGATGACCACCCAAATTGTATTAAATCTACTGACCAAGAGGTAAGGAATGAGTAGAGTTTTAGGTTTCGCCTTCTACAAGTTTCCTATCTTCAGAGGAACATTATTGAATTGTTGTTATTCTTAGTAAATGTTGACCTTATCTAATTTGTTTTTCAAGGGCAAGGTACTAAATCTTTTCCAGCCTGCTAGAGAGTTCATACCTATGATAGACGAGGTGCAAAATTGTTGTCTTTACTTAATATATATATATATATATATATATTTATTACCTATTCTGATAGACTAGAACTTTTTGATTCATTTCGTCTATTTTTACGCAGGTTTTTAGAACCCTTGTCGAGAATACTAACGGAATAAAAGGTGCAAAAGTAGAGAATCACAAATTTTGTGCCTCTGTACATTACCGTAATGTAGATGAGAAGGTGAGGTTTCAATAACATGAATGACTCGAATTTCATTAGTTATCTGCAACTGCATCAGCAGCGCTTGGTTTAATTAGCACTGATAAGACTTCTCTTTTCTTTTACTTTAGAGCTGGCCAACTATTGCACAATGTGTTCATGATATTCTAAAAGACTACCCTCGTTTGCTACTAACCCATGGTCGGAAGGTACACATTTGTATTGATATTTTTCTCTCAATTTCTATAATTCTTTTTAAGTGTCATCCTCTTTACAAACTTTTGTATTCCTTATCTTAGGTTTTAGAGATCCGACCTGTGATTGATTGGAACAAGGGCAAGGCAGTCGAGTTTTTGCTTGAATCTCTCGGTAAACACACACACTCTGTCCGGCCATAAAAATTCAAGGTCAATGGATTGCCTTAATGGTGTGTTAACTGTTCCTATGGTATTTTTTTAAATTTATAAAGGGCTAAGTGAAAGTGATGATGTGCTGCCCATCTATATTGGAGATGACAAGAGTGATGAGGATGCATTCAAGGTAGTGGCACTTGTTTTTGTCAATTACCTTTATTATCAAGAGCTTCCAATGTTGATGTGAGATTCTCACATTTACTTATAATAGGTGTTGCGGGAAGGAAATCGGGGTTATGGAATTTTGGTGTCTTCAGTTCCTAAAGAAAGCAGTGCACATTACTCTCTAAAGGACACTTCAGAGGTAGGGAATAAATTACAGAAGGAAGTTATATGCACACCTAGATTGGCATTACAGTCGGACCATTATTCTTATATTTGAAACTTTGTTCAAATGTACAGGTGAAGAAATTTCTCAAGGCATTGGTAGGTTGGAAGAAGAAGCTTGAAGTAGGCAGGCGTAGCATATAATTGCAAACACTCTGTTGATATCACCTCTGGGTTCATATTTCACAAGGAATCCAGATGATCAAAGTGGCCACATCATTTCCAATATGATCTGCAGTTTAAATGTTTTAAATATTTTTTTTGCCAACATTTTTAATAAATTATATAATTCTTTTTTGTTTGGATCTTGTAAATCCTTTTTTTTTTTTTCTCGTATTGAGATCTGTTCAGCTCTCATTGTTATTTTATTCTTACACTTTATTTCCAGCCAATGAAATGAAAATGATCTCTTTTAGTAAAAGAGTCT